TCCCATTCCTGTGACATCTCTTGCAGATCCAAATCCGGTATACAGTATATTTTATATATACAGTTTTCATGTATGTACAATACCTTCTCTTACGCTTAGTCTCGCTCACCGTCCCTCTCTTGAGTATTTTACCCATTTTTATAACAATAATATAAAATGTTTTCTTAAATATTATAACATATCATCAATATGTTTGTTCGGCCCGTTGTGTGGAAGCACGTGGTCAATCAGGATGGTAGGGTATTTTGGAATCCTTAAGATAGAGCTCGGCCATGGAGTGCCATGTATTTGAAAGGAATGGTTTCAAGGCAATTCTAGATTTTACAGAAAGTCAGTGGAGGTATAGCTTAAGCTCTAGATTTTGTTAGTTGCCCTGCTGCAGCATTTTGTATAACCGGAAGTCTTTACCAAACTCAAAGCAAAGAATTACAGAGTTATACTCGAGACATTGTAAATGCATCGACTCATTTTCACCATCCTTTAACATGCGGAAATTTAGGGGCAGCGGTGGCTTCGTGATTAAGTAAGCGAACTTGGGTCCGGAGGATTGTGGAATTCACAAGTGATTAACTTTCAGAGTTATTCTTTTTTTGTTTTTGCCTTGTAGCACATCATTAAGTTCCACCGTGCATCGAAAGCCAACAAGAAGCCAATGCAACTGCCTAGAGGGATGGTCAAGTCTCTCCTGTATCAAATTCTGGATGGAATCCATTACTTACATGCCAACTGGGTTCTCCACAGGGATCTGGTAAGCAGTTTTATTTAACTTATGAATATCCTCCTAAAAACCAATTAAACAGGGGTAAAATGGGGGGCCTGGGGAAGGGGTATAATGTTAATGAGTTTAAATGAACAATACAGACTAAAGCAAGACGAAGTTACACACTGAAGCATTTTAGCAATGGTGTGGAGCGAAAAAATGGTCAACTCAAGTTAAGATGTTATCTAGCATGTTTTCCGGACAATGAATCGCACCAGCCAAAAAATGCATAATGAAGAAGAAAAACACATATATAAGTCACTCCGGGGTATAAGTCGCACTAGCCTGCTAGAGTGCCCTCTGGTGGCTGTCAGTGTGAAAGTAACGAACATGTAAATTTTCAGTCATACAGTAATAGCAGATACTGGTACACAAGCCTAGAGTGCCCTCTAGCGGCTTTCTGTGTGAAAATAACAAACGTTAAATTACTCTATATATTTAAATATATTCCAATGTCTCGAGAGTTTTTTAAAAAATTCCAATACATTCATTATATTCGTGATAAAAAACATTTTCTAACCCAAAACAAATGTAAACAGTAAAAATATAGTGAAAAATTAACTAAAAGACATCGCTGATAGCTTTGTTTACCAGGAGGAGATCGAACGCATTATTGAGCATGCTCTTCTGTTCCTCACGCTGATTGGCTCGTGCACCGTAGCATCTCTCAGCATCTCCCCTCGTTTGTCGGGTACCTGTTCACTTTTCTCTGCTCCGTTAAATGAGTTTGTGCTCTTGTGTTTGGTGAAAGTTGACCCTGATTTACCGCCTTGCATCTTCTCAGGCTTCTGTTACAAAGCCCAAACGAAGACGCTGACACAGAGGACAGTTAACAGCCTTTTTATTTTATCCCGGCTCCTCAAGTCTTATATTTCCGTTATACAACTCTACTGCACATATAATTGTGCGGGAAAGGTCCAGGGAGGGTTGATAACAGTGTGGCGGGGAGGTTCATGAAACGTAAATATATACAAAAATAATATAATAACTACATATCATGCCCCTACTTTGCGGCTTTTCCTTTTTCGCGGTTGGTCTTGGAACGCAACTACCGCGATAGGAGAGTGACCTCTTTATACAGTGTAGAGAACAAAATGCACCCTTTGCCTTTAAACCAGTCTTAGCAAGAAGCTAGGGGAGTGCAGGCTTGGAACCTTCAACCTACAAGCCTGAGAAACAGGTATGGTAACAAGTAAAAATATAACGTTATGTACAAAGCAAATGACAGGATTTCCACACTTCTTGGACAATGATTAACTTATTCTCCAGTCGTGGAAAGCATGGAAAATGAGAGAAAAGGTCAAATGAGCTGGAACTGGTTACGTTGTCCTAGAAAGGTATTTACCCTCCCCCCCCGGCCTTGTGAGCAAATGCAAACTGGTTCCAAACACAAACATGCATCTCTGTTGTCACCTAATCTTCCAGACAACGACAAGGTGAAGCACCCAGCTGGAAGCTCTAGCACAAACACTGTTAGGTCTGCAGGGGGGGTGTCAAGAAGCTACCGTAACTGAGGAACTTTGTTTTGAGTTTTAATCACATTGATGACTATGTTTTGCTCTGCTATTATGACAGTGATTTTGATTTTTAGATTTGATGTTTGAGGAGTCAACCGATTTGTGCAGTAAAGTAGTCTAGAGCGCAGTAATTTGGGAACCTCTCCCCACAACATTCCGACATAGAGTGCAACCTAGTCCCTTTTTGAACAAATCGGATGTTTTGAACAAAAATTCTAACTAAAAATCGCCCTGGTTGTCGTAACATAACTCGCTTGCCATCCGGCCAACAATACCGCGCAAGCAGCAAGTGATCGGCGTCAATCCGCGCCTCAGGATATAGACGCAAAGAACTATTTCTCGTGTTGTTGTTCATAAATCACCATGGGACCTAGAAATGCTTGTGAAAGTGCAAAGGCGGAAAGAACAATAGAAGTGAAGAAAGATTATATTTTTTCAGATCTAGCTAACATGGTACGACTTAGCAAAGTCATTGACTTGTACCATCATTAAGAACAAGGAAACAATAAGAGAAGCAAAGGTTGCCAAAGTAGTGACTGTCATCATCAAGCAAAGATCTCAGACATTAGAAGAAGTGGAAAAGTTGCTATTGATTTGGATCACCGAAAAGCGACAGTGAAGCGCACCGTTGCGCAATCACGACTCTTTAGCTCCGGTATGGATGAATGAAATTGCCTTTCCTGTTTATAGCTTTATTCTTTATTCAGTCGTGTTTATCCTTTTTTTTTTTGTTGGATCTAATTATTTTCATTGGTTTCGCGTATCAACCTGTACACAAAATACTGTTCGCAAAAGATTGAAAAAACAATCATCCGGGGTCCGGGATCGGATGAATCCATTTGTACATTGATTCCTATGGGGAAAATTGTTTCGGTTTTGGAACTTTTCGGTTCCCAAACAGCCTTCAGGAACAAGAAACCCGAGGTTCCACTGTATTATACAGTAACCCCTGTACAAACCTTAGAGATTAATATTGAATGATGTCTTGTCAGGTGTGTATAGGTGTGTCATTACAGCAGGTCTCACTCTACGTCTCACTCTCGTGTTTCAGTCTCGTCCAATGACGTAATGCAGTGGCGGTGTCTTCTGTTCGTTTGTAGAATGCCGGGGTCTTTTCCCGGTGTCTTCAGTCGATGCATATGTGGAGAGGAGAAAGAGCTTACATAACTGTTTGCTCTCTCTCTCGCTCTCTCTCTCTCTCTCTCCCTCTCTCTCTCTTTTTCTCAGAAGAAAAATGTGAGTGCGTGTTATTACATGTTCCGCATTGCGCCCCTCGCATGTCCCGCCGCTTTCTCCCTCACCCTGCTGCACCCACTGCACTTGAAGCCTCTGAGTGGTTATGTAACAGCATACCATAGCAAAAGGATGCAAGGTTGCGTCAAGAAGCTCTTTAAACAGCTCTTGCAGTCCAAGCAGAAAGCATGCACCTCAGTGGACCGTACCACTGTTTCCAAAAAAAGAAGAAAAAAAAAAAAACCGGATGAATTAAAACCATTAATTTGTTATTGGCTTTACTTTACTTACAAAGTTCTGCATATGTTGAAGAGGGCACAATACCGAAGAATGTTTTTTTTTTTGGGAAATTTGATTTATAAAACCACCCAGGTTCTATGGTATCATCCGGAAAAAGACCCCTGTACCCTACATTAGACAGTCAGCTGGATTGTGAAATAGCTCAACTTTTTTTTCTGTCTTTTCCTTGAAGCTTCATTGTTATTTGTGAGCCAGGGAATGCATTTACAAGCCCCATTTTTTTTTATCTTCTTATTTTCTGTTTCCTTCGTTGTAAGTAAAGGATTGTGGGTCAGAAAGCTTTCATATTTCCCTTCCTTTGCCTTTGAAAACGAGAACCACGGGGTCATATTTCTCATTTTTTTCAGTTTTCTCAGTTTGAATAGTACTTTTCAAACTGCCAAGATGAATTTGTTTTATGCTGTCTCTGTCAATCCTCTGCAGTTTTTAGCGATGCTTTGATGTGTTTACTGAATGCTATTTGTTATCATTAATGCAGCCATTCAGACACATGAATAAAACTGGCTGTTTAATAGTGTTCATATAACATAATCTCCAATCTGAGACATATTAACTCAGACATGGGCAAACTAAAGCTCGGGGGGGGTCGATGCGGCCCGTTCATCTTTTTAATCCGGCCCGCCAATCTTTTCCAAATTATATAATTTATTTATATTATCATTTTAGTACTGCCTTTTCCCTGCAATACCCACGTTTTCCCAATAGATGGCATAAAAATAATAAAAGCATTTTAGCCTTTTAGCCTTTATGCATGACTTTTACGTTGTTGTTTACTTTATGTATCGCCCCCTGTATCGGAATGCCCCACTAAAGGCAAAGCTATTCCACAAATTAGCATTGTCTGTAAAAACCAATAACAATT